CTTTCAGCACGTGCTAGCCGAGCCGAGGCATATTCTATCGGCTCGACTGAGCCGCTCGGCCGTGATCGGGAGCTGTACGGGCTATTGTGAATAGCCTGTACAGCACCCCCTCAGTTCTCTTGAACCGAAGGGGTCCTGGAGCCGAAGCTAGCCGAAGGATCGGCCGAAGCTACTGCCAGATCCTTCGGCAGCTTTGTGAATAGACCCCTTAGTGTTTTTCCCCAACCTTATGAATATTCTGGCTGACTTCTCAACATTATCTGGCCTCTCCATCAATCACTCAAAGTCCCAAGCTCTTAACATTTCTCTTCCCTCAGCAACCCTTTCTCTTTTGCAAGAGACATTCCATTTTCAGTGGTGAGCCTCATCCCTCTTCCACCTGGGGATACATTTGACTGCTTCCTATCATAGCCTCTATGACACCAATTAACCTCCTATATTTGACAAACTTAGGTCATTGACTTGGTTCCGCTACAACCTATCCTGGTTGTGTAGTATGGCTGCCATCCAAATGACCTTCTTTCCCAAAATCTTATATCTTTTACATACCCTTCCCGTAAGGGTTCCCCCTTTCACTCTAAAAAACCTACAATCTCAGGTTAACAAGTTCATATGGTCTAACCGTAAGCCACAGATCCCTCAAAATACTCTGTATCTGCTATGGTTGTCAGGCGGGTTGGGTGTCCCACACTTTTCTAAATACTATTATGCAGCCCAGATCAGCCAATTAGCTAAGTACCACACATCCTCTGAATCTCCCCTCTGGGTTGAGTTTGAGGCTGCGCTCTTTCACCCAACCCACACTGACAATGTTCTCTGGCTAGCTCTCAAAACCGAACTACCTCCCTTGACCTGGTTATTGCTCATTCTCTCAAGTTGTGGAACTCTCATAAACATTCTGACGGTTTGATCTCTCCCAGTCTACCCATGCTCTCCTTTGTTTAAAACCTGTCTTTCTTGCCCTCAATGGAATCCCCCCACACCTTCACTTTCTGGTTAAAATGTGACCTCACTCACACTGGTAAACTTTCGTCAGATACGGGTCTTAAATCATTTCCATATCTTAAAGAACAATATCGCTTACCCAACAAGGAGCTCTTTCACTATTTGCAAATTGCAGCATTTATATCTAAGACACTTGGTCCTCTTATCTCTCATAAGTCCATAACCCCTTTTGAATGTATCTGCAGAGACAATCCTCACAGTTGCGGTTTGATTTCTCTTCTTTATTTGAGTTTTGTGGCTCCCTCCCATGCACCGTGTCCCTCGTATGTGGATGGACAGGAGTTGGGACTTACTCTGGATGATGAAGCATGGGCTCAGATACTAAATCTTCCTCGAGGATTGCTAGTGCTTTGGAGATCAATTATAAAGTGTTAACCCGCTGGTATATGGTCCCCACTAGAATAGCTTCCTATGCCCCCAGTTATTCCCCACTTTGCTTTAGGGAATGTGGCGAAGCTGGCTCACATGCACACATGTGGTGGCTCTGCACCATCGTCTCCAGGTTTTGGGACTGTATCTTTCACATTCTTTCAGTTTTGGCTCATAGACCCATTGTTAAAGACCCGACTTTAGCCTTGCTCAATTTGCAACCGGATGTCCTCCCATATCAAGCTGTTCAAGTTGTTTGTTCATGTGCACACAGCTTTGAAGTATGAGATTGCTAGATCATAAAAACCCCCTTCTCCCAGCATCCATAATTTGAAGGGCCAGATCACATGGATTATGAAAAATGAGAAGAGGACGGCCAAACTTACTAACACCATGTCTAAGGTTGAAAGATAAAGAAAAGCTGGGGTTTTTTTAGGCACCAACTGACAACTTTCAAGACAATAGACCATAAAAAATATATTTATTTGTATTAAGTTATTAAAGGTAGAGTAATTTCATAAAAACAGTCTGATCGGATAACTCCCTGAGCGCTCACTCCATTACTGTTCTATCCCTTATAAATGCATAGGTAACATGATTAAATTGAATCAAAGTACATGATGAGAAGACCATGATTGATTACCAGGAATAACATAATAGAGTGACATAGCATTTCAAAGCATGATTAAGAAGATTGTTACACATGATCAAGGGTTTGGCAATAGAGGATAGCTGACAGTGGAGGAGCGCAATTTGTCTCGACGTTTCGCGCTTGACGGCGCTTCTTCAGGAGGAGGAAGTTATCAATGAAGTAAGTCGATGATGTGTGTGCATCAATGCAGCCCCATCCAGGCGCAACACCTGAACCACACCCACCAGAGCAAACAGGGGGAGAGAGGTCGACATCATGGGGCCCACTTTAGGCAGCGGAGGGTGAGAGGTATGTGGTAGCAAAATAACCATTAGATGAATGCAGACCTTTACCAGGTGATTCCCCCGTCGTAGACTGAGGGTTATCCGTGCTCCTCTCACCTCCAAGCCCCCAGCGTGCTGCATGGCCGCCCCAGGCTCCACCCGGCCTGGGACGGCTCTGTATATACAATATAATATAAAAACCATGTCTAAGTTTGATCAAATCTGGGACTCTTGGATAGAACATTGTTTACCTCCCCGCTTTGACCACTGGTTGCTTTCAATATGCCCTTCCCATCCTCCCCTTGGATCTACTTTCCTGGCAGTCGTATCCTGGGACAACCTCTTTTCTTTCTTTTCTCTTTTCTTCTTTCTTCTCTCTTTCTTTTGTTTCTTTTTCTTACTTTATTTAGGTGCACACTCTACTCACCAGGCTGCTGTTCTGGACAATAGTCCCCTATGTTACCTGTGTGAATGCCCCCTGGCTTCTCTTTAGCATCTCTCTTCAGATCATTTGCTTTTAGGCAATGACCCCAAGATCCACCCTTTGTCTTCAGCCAATGACATTGTAGAATTAAAGTCTCCATTGATCAAATGGAGTCGATAATCGGTTTTCGAAAGCCATTGTGTCAAAGAACAGAAGTCAGACTTGGACAGCAAATTCTGTAAATAGACATTACTGATGGCCACAGTGGAGGTCTCACACTTTATAGTAACAGTAAGTAATCTCCCTTCAATGTCCCTCTCTATACCTAAAACCGAATAGGCCAAGCGTCTATGAAACAAAATTACCATTCCCGCCTCATGGCTCGTGGAAAAACAAATAACTAAGACTTACTCGTCACAGAACAAAGATACCCAAAAGGGCAGATATATAGGGCAGATATTCTGAAAGTAGCAGTAGAAGTAATATTCTGAAAGGGCAGATATATAGGGAAAAATAGGGCAGATATTCTGAAAGTAGCAGTAGGCCCTTTGTAATTGCTGGTCCTGTGAGAGTCACGACCCTTCTGAAGTTGCCATAAATCTCTCATGAATAAACCCCTCGCTTGACTTTCAGTAGCCGAAAAAGGTTAATTGATTGATAGGCAATGAAACCTTTTTACAAGGTCCAAAAGCAGTTCCTACTGAACTTCTCCACTATACTTCCTAGCAAGAAGATTATTTACATATGCTCCTTTCAGGCAGATACCCTTAAGCCTAGCATCTTCCAAGTGTACCCCCAGCAAGGCAACTAAAGTCCTTGGGCATCCAGCACATGCCTGGGCTGACACAAGACCCAAAAGAGAGAACACTTGTACAGTAAGGAGGTATTTTTTCATTTTACCTGGAGTTCAGCTTTAAGGATAACGTGCCTTCTCTCTACCTTTTGCATTGAGGCTTAACCAAGCTGCTTAGATAATATCCAATCACTGTACAATATGTGTGGCTATTGTTCTAAAATAATACAGGCCAATTTTTGTAGGACAAAAGCTGGTAAACATAAACCTGAAGTCTATTTTTGGAATACTGTGGAAATAATTGAGGATATGACGATGAGAGGGGGCTTTTAAAGGAGAACTATGAGGTGAGTGCTTTTCACTCACCTCATAGTTCTAGCCGACCTGTGACAATGAGACTGTCACAGGTCGGCTCAGTAGATCGGGAGGTGAGCGAACACATACCGGTGTTTGCTGACTTCTCGATCCTGTCACGGCTCTCTGCCGTGACAGGGGAGGGGCTGCATTCCCCCCTCCCCGCTCCGATCCGCCAGCGCTGCCTCATTTCATTTCAATAGTTAAGCTTTTTGTAAAAGCTTCTTCCTTTCATTAATGAAAGAATTAAGCCGTTACAGGTCTCTAAGGTTATTATTAGCTGTTCCTAAGTTTGGAGCAGCCTAATAATAGATTTTTTTTTTAAAGTTAATTTATCAAGCAGTCATAGTGAATCCAGCAAAATTCTGTAGAAAAAAAAGCTCAAAAATTACATTATGAAACTCTTTTGCTACTGGCCAATTTGTATGAATTTGAAGGCTTTAACTTTAGGTCACTTTCCTATTTCTTTAAGATTGGTTGTGGCTGCTAATGCCATTGCTCAATTCAGACCTATTATTGTTAAATAAATAAATCACGTGTCACAGTCAAAACTACCTAAAAAAAGCCTTTTTTTTGGAAGTGAAAAAAATATGCAAAATATGTGATACATGAATACGGTGTTGCTCACACTGTCTGTAAAAATCATACTGTTCCATAACACCTCATACAGCTTAAAGTCATCTCCCAAAAATGTAATTTAAATTGGTGTTTTTCCACATCACCTTCAAAGTTGCATTAAAAGGAGTATTCACTTGCCACCATATGGTATCCTAATTTTTCTTTTGCATTGGTATATGTCCCCCATGGCAGTGCCCAGCTCTCTCTGCCCTTTTTAACAATCCCTTGCTTATTAGCCTTAAAAATGGTCAGAACTGATTATCAAGATTTGCCGCTATAGATTTCAATGGAGTTAAGCTTTAGGTTTGCAATGTTTTAATTGTGCACCAGCTTACAAGAATCCCCATGTGAACGGATACCAGACACATTCACTCCTCCCGAGGAATCTGCTAATCAAAAATAATCAAAAAGGAGAAAAAAGACAGACATCTTGACACCAATTACAGAACACCTATCAGTGGACAGTAATTCTTCCCAACTAGGCTTCATCTAGGCAACCATCAACCTGATGGTTCTTCTTTCTGAGTAATAAATTGCTACTTTAAAATGCCATTTATACTTTAACATCCCGTTGTGTGTGACATTCAACCACAGGACTAAGAGCAATTGTCCTAGAAAAATCTCCTTTTATGGTGACTTACAAATCTATATTTTTAGGAGGTATTTCCTGAGGTCTCCATACTCTAGTAGTAGTACTGTTCTGAAGAAACGTCCATGGTGTTTCCACCACTGGATACGTTTCTGCAAAGGCTGTCTAATGTTCTAAAACCCCCATAAGTGGGGCTAGCTACTCACAGTATTGTTTCCTGTATTGAGGACATTTACACAGAATGAATTTATCTTTCTGAAAAGAATCAGAAATAAAGCAGAAGTTTACAGCAACTGCTGTTAAGATAAATACTGACTAGAAATAATGGCTGGTACAATCTGGGAAGCACATAAAGACTTTATTGGGGTAAATTAATCACACAAGACTAAATAGAAAGAGACTTAGCAAAAATCCTCATGGCAAATACATCTTATTGGAGGGACTACATAAGGAATCACTGTGTAGACTCCATTATCAGACTACAGTATTCAGTATTTTAACTTTGGAAAGGAAGCACATCCTGTCCAAGGTCTCTCGCCTTAACTACAAATGGAGGAATAAACCAGGAAAAGTCTTAGCACATTTATTAAAACAAAAACCTGGGATTTAGGATTGTTTGGGTAAATCTGCATTTACCTCTAAAGATGTAGGTGAAGTATTAAAGATTTATATCAAATGCTATATAGTGTTCAGACTGATTCAAAAGGGACATCTCAAAATGAGAATATAGAGAGAGAATTTAGGGATGCACCGAAATTATATTTTATGACCGAAACTAAAATTTAAAAAGTTGTCATTGAAGACACAGAGTCCTCAATCTCTTTTTCTGCAACCCCAGCACTCAATGAACAGGAAGCTCTCAGTACTGAGGCTTCCTGTTTATTCACAATCTGGAGATTGTAAATATTTACTATCAACCCAGTCATTAATGGACAGGAAGCCTCTGTACTGAGCTGGGAGCGCCGGCAGCTGGATCGGCTCTGTGTCCCCTCTGATCCTCGCTGCCTCTGCTGACACAGGTAGGGTAGAGCAGCAGGGATTAGAGGAGGCACAGACCTGTGTCCATAGAGGAAGAGAGAAGCTAGGGACCGCATTTTTGGTCGCATTTGCGGCTGTTTTGGTACTATCGGCATTTTGGCTATAGCACTATTTTTGGCCGAAATGTTTTGGCGGCCGAAATTTTGGTGCATCCCTAATATAATTTTAAAATTACCCTATATTTCTAAAGCATAAGCATTTACTGTTAGAGCAGGGTATCCTTGAAGATTAACTTTCCTGTGCTTTGTTAAACACAGCTACGAAAAAAAAAGGTCCAGGTTGTGATGGCTTTACAGTGTTTTACTTTAGAGAGTTTAAAGATATCCTTCTCCCGTACCTATGTTCAATGCTAATAACCTATCTGCAGGGAATCCTTCCAAATCTGAAACTTTAAGTGCTCATATAACAGTCATTCTTAAACAAGGTAAGGATCCCTCTCTACCATCCAGTTACAGACCAATTTCCTTATTAAATGTGGACATATAACTTTATGCCAAGGTTCTAGCTGGAAGGATTCCCATACCGGTTCCCCAGCTGATTAATACGGACCAAACTGGGTTCACCCATGGTAGAGAAAATAGAGATATTGAGAGCCATATTGATTATTCAATATGTAGATCTGAGCTCCAAGTCCACCATGTTATTATCTACGATGCAGAAAAAGCATTCGAAGGGTGAACTGAAAATTCATTATGGCAACTTTGGAACATTACAGATTCAGAACTAAAATGTTAAACAGAACTAGAGCACTGTACACTTTCCCCGAAAGCCAGGGTCAGATTTAATGGACTAAATTCTTCCCCAATAACGGGCCTGGACAGGGATGCCCACTATCTTCAATGATGTTTGCTCTCTTGCTGGAACTCCTCTTAAATATGATTCAACTAAATCCAAATGGTCATGAGGTACGTCTTGGCTTGGGGGGCACAAATTGACCACAACTGCAGATGACATCCTCTTATTTAGTAATTACAATAGTAATATTTTTCTCTAACCTGCTAAAAGAATTTGAAGCATTTAGTCATGCGTCCAAATTTAAAATCAACCACTTGCCGTCCGCCTGTTGCAAAAAAAACAGACAGACGGCACAGTCGCATTGGCGGCATTTTTTTTCTGCTCGCGCGCTGGGGTGAGGGGGGGGGACCCATCCAATGTAAAGAGCCGTTACTGGCTGTTTCACATATACCCGATTGGCGGCTCTACAGCCTGCCGATCGTGAATATGTGCTGGCTGCATGCCCCCCTCGAGTGCTGCCGCGGCCGTCGCCCCCACCCCTCTTGACCCCTCACCTTCAATCCCGGGATCAGCTGTCCCATCTGCGGCCCGGGACCAGCTCGGGAGGGTGTCAGGTGGTAAGATGGGAGGGAGAACATCATCTTCCTCCTTGCTGATCTCCCTCTGTGCTGTGAATGCAGAAGTGATGTGTATTACATCACTTCCGCATTCACCTGTCAGTCATCTGGCTGCTATAGCCAGATAAAAGAAGCTGATGAAGCAGATCTCTGCGCTACACATGTTACATATCGCCATAAACGTCGCAGTGAGAGCAATCATTTTAGGGCCATCAATCACTGATAACACTAAACTGATGAGCGGTAAAAGCTTTTAAAGCGTCGCCTATAGCCAATTTTGGGTATTATAGTTTTTTGAGGTTTCGCGCGCGCGCACGCAATTTTAAGGCTTGACATGTTTGATGTCTTTCTACCCGACGTGACCCAGTCTTTTATATTTTACCCAAAAAATTGGGTAATAATAAATGTTTTATCATTTAATATTGGGGAAACTGTTTTTTTTTTTTAATTTCGGTAATTTTTCTTTAATAAAGTTTAAAAATAAAAACTGCAGTGGTGATTAAATACCACCAAAAGAAAGCTCTATCTGTCTCCAAAAAATGGTATAAAATTCATTTCAGTACAGCGTTGCATGACGGAATAAACATCAGCCAAAGTACCGCAGCGCTGAATACTGAAAAATGGCCTGGATCGGGTGTAACACTGCGGACTTCAACTGGTTAATGTGACTAAATCAGAAATGTTGAATGTTCACCTTCCTACACAAGAGGTGGAGATGTTAAGACCTAGGCTACCTTTTTTTTTAACAAAACAGTAGGTTGAATACATATGTCAACATAACAGTAAGATCGGTAGTTTCAGAGGACTTATAACTGCATGTACAAACAGTCATCTCAATACGCTAGTCAGCGGAAAGAAACGGGCCTCAACCTCTGTATAAGTAGGAAATGTGACATAAAAAAACAAAAAATAAATAAAAAATAGAGTAAGAGAGAGGCGATGGCATAGAGTACTATGCCTATCCCTCAACACTGCCTTGGGTATGAACTGCGCTTAGATACCAGGCTACCTTTTTATTGACAACCTGGGTATCTTCATTACTAAATATTAAAACTATATAGTTAGTTTTAATCATGTTCAACTACAGAAAGAAATAGAACAAGTATTGGCAAAGTGGCCGAAAACCCAACTGTCCTGGGTGGAAAGAATAAATGCATTACGTTTTGCCAGGTAATACAATTAATAACATCATTGTCACAACCTATTAGAGTCTTGACTGATTTGACCGCTATTGAAACACTTTTGAGCAGCTTGGGACCTACCTCACCACCCCCTCGCTCGTATTTATAGGGTTTTGCTCAAATTAGATTGCTCTGACGTCCTTGATTATCAGGCTAAATAGGAAGCAGATCTTGGATATACTCTAACAGATGAAGACAAAAGGATAATGGTAATCTTTGGTCATAGTCCCTCAATTAGTACGTTTGTTGAAGAGATGAATTTTAAAATAGCAACTTGATGGTACTTGTCACCATCACGTATAGCAATATATCTCTTAAAGGAGAACTATGTGGTGAGTGCTTTTCACTCACCTCATAGTGTAGCTTGCGGTATATTGAGCTTAGGGTGACGGCAGGACACTAGTTTGTGTCCTCCCGTTACCCTAAGGAGAGCTATGGGGAAAAGCCTTAACCCCATAGTCCCCCTTAATGTTGAAGTGGGTGTGGTATGGAGGGGTCATTGCACATATGTGCTGGTCCTGCCCAGTTTTTCAGTCATATTGGATCTCAGCTTTGTCTTAGATATTGAATATTTGGGGCACGACCTGGCACCAGATCCTTGGTTATGTCTTTTCCACTGCTCTTCTCTTCCCCAAAATGAATACGTGAATAGCATGCTCCCTTAATTATTAAACTCAGCAAAACATAACATAGCTCTAGCCTGAAACTGTATCTGTATCTGTACAAGTGCAAGTTACAGTAAATACCTGTTGTTCCTGCCAGTCCCCCTCAGATTGAATGACGTCCTGTATGTTACTAACCACGCTAACCTCAAAAGGAGATCCGTGATAGTGTGGTCAGGTTATATCACTTCTTATTCTCTGGAGAATACAGGGTGCCCCAAAGTCAGACCCAAAGTCCGCCTATGACATCATTGTCTGATACACACACCCCCTTTCCAGCCCTTTTTAATATATGGAACTAGGCATGAAGGTTCTTAGAATATGTTGCAATCATGTGTAAAATCTGCACTTTTGGTGTTTCCTTTCAATATAATGTTTCAACCGCAGTAAAAACAAGTGAATCCTATAATAAGGGATGAGCTCAGATTAGGACGGAACACAATTTTAGTCTGAGCTCTTCCAAACAAAGGAAGGAAGCTCCTGCCACTCAGAGCTGAATGTAATCAGTGGGGTGGGATTCAGTCATCTCATGTACCTTATATGGCCACATGGCTATATTTGGTCAATGGCATTAACGTAAAAAGGCCAAGTGGCCATATAAGGTCTATGACTTAATTACAAGCATCCTGCCCCTTTGTTTATGAGTGGGTGGTCCATAGAACGTCCATGTTCAGGATTGCACTAGGTTCCTCTCCACACCTGAGCTCCTCCCTATTCTGAAACATGGCAGCATGCTGAATTTGTGGTGTTTGAATAATTAACACTTTATTTGTATTTCCCTTCTTATTCTACAGATAGTGAAAGTTGTTTCAGATGCCCAGATGACCAGTGGCCCGATGAGAAGAAAGTGAAATGTGTTTACAAAACATATGATTATCTGTCCTATGAACATGATGTGATGGCTTTAGTTTTTTCCCTCAAATCTCTAACGTTCTTATCCATGGCTTTATTTGTATTAGGAAACTTTATATATTTTTGGGACACTCCAATTGTGAAAGCCAATAACCGGACTGTGAGCTTCATCCTCCTGACCTCCATCTTGCTAAGCTTCCTCTGCGTCTTCTTGTTCCTCGGACGTCCTGTGGATATAACCTGCATGCTGAGACAAACCTCATTTGGAATTTTCTTCTCCGTCGCCGTCTCTTCTGTTTTGGCCAAGACCACTATTGTTTGTATTGCATTTAAAGCCACCAAACCCGGCAGCTACTGGAAAAAACTGGTCACAGTCAAAGTATCGAATTCTTTGGTTGTAATCTGTTCTTCTGTTCAAGTTCTGATCTGTGTTATTTGGCTGTCAGTGTCTCCTCCTTATCAAGAGTATGACATGCACTCTTCTCCCAGGAAGATCATCATTCAGTGTAATGAAGGGTCAGTTATTGGGTTCTACTCTGTGTTGGGTTATTTGGGGCTTCTGGCAGCAGTGAGCTTTGTTCTGGCTTTCATGGTGAGGACATTACCGGACAGTTTTAATGAGGCTAAGTACATCTTCTTCAGCATGCTGGTGTTCTGCAGTGTCTGGATTGCCATGATCACGGCCTATCTGAGCACCAGAGGGAAATACATGGTGGCTGTGGAGATTTTCGCCATATTGGCCTCCAGTGCTGGACTAATTGGGCTGTATATTCTTCCCTAAATGTTACATTATAATTTTGAAACCTGAATTGAACATCAGAGAAACTCTCAGAAAATGATTCAGTGCTCTATGTATCTTTCGGATTCATCTTCAGATATTCATAATTTTAATCAGATGTTTTTGATAGGCTTTTACAGTTTTCAAACAGTAAAAACCATGCGGAGACAAACATTAGAAATAGTACAGCCATCAGGGGGAGCGGTAGATCTCATATGAAATGCACATACAGTAATAAAGTTTCAAAGTACAAAAGATTGCATGCTATCATGTACAATATGAAAATCACATTGGGAACATGTATCAAGCAAATTTCCCTGTTTCCCCAAAAATAAGACCTACCCCGAAATGAAGACCTAGTACATTTTTAGGAATTGCTAAACTATAAGACCTACCCCGAAAATAAGACCCAGTTGTGACCTTTCCCAGGGCCGGTGGTGGCATAAGGGGGAACTTGAAGAGGCGCGGGAGAGAATCAGCAGTGCCAACGAAGCCAGCGCTAGAGGAAGCGAGGCGGCAGCGGAGGTAGCAGAGCCGCATGAGCCGATGTTTCCTCTATAGCGCCGGCTCCTGTCACAGGCGGAGTGATACCAAATGCACTCCGCCTGTGAGGAATCCATAGTGAAAGTGCGCTTCGCTCATTCTGGTTACCAAATTGCTCTTGGAAAGGTATGGCAACCTGTATTGCCCTGATCACCGATTCTTAACTTTGCCATTTTGGATTATTTAATTTGGATTTGCATTAACTTTGGATTGTTATACATTAAAAAAAAAAAGACCCACGCCGAAAATAAGACCTAGTGTGTTTTATTCAGCCAAAAAAAATATAAGACAGTGTCTTATTTTCTGGGAAACACGGAATATATATATAAAGAGTTGCAAATCAGGCTGCCTGTCCTTCAGCAAAGGCCAATCAGCCAAAAGAACACTTGTCAGGTACCGATGTTGGATGAGGAGACCTGGCTGGCATTTGGCTTTGCAGTTGATCCCAAAGGCGCTCAGTAGGGTTTAGGTTGGGACTCTATGTTGACCACTGGAGTTCCTCCACACCAAACTCATCACACCATGTCTGTATGGAGCTGGCTCTGTACACAGGGGACAGTCATGGCGGGACAGAAAAGGGCCTTATGTTGGCCACTCCGGGTCCTCCACACCAAACTCATCACACCATGTCTGTATGGAGCTGGCTCTGTACACAGGGGACAGTCATGGCGGGACAGAAAAGGGCCTTATGTTGGCCACTCCGGGTCCTCCACACCAAACTCATCACACCATGTCTGTATGGAGCTGGCTCTGTACACAGGGGACAGTCATGGCGGAACAGAAAAGGGCCTTATGTTGGCCACTCCGGGTCCTCCACACCAAACTCATCACACCATGTCTGTATGGAGCTGGCTCTGTACACAGGGGACAGTCATGGCGGAACAGAAAAGGGTCTTCACCAAACTGTGACCACAATTGTCCATAACGGCTTTGTATGCTGAAGTATTACCTGTACCCTGCACTGGAAACACCTGAACTGAAGTAATTTGGAGGGCTGCCCTCAGACATAGCAATGGTCAGGTGGCCACACGCATGGTCTAATATATATATATATTGCTATTTCCATGTATAAATATATCCTGCGAAAAAATATGACACCGAGCAAAAATGTATAAAAGGGATTTTGTCCGTCTCTATATTTTGCAATATCCTTCGTTGACAAACTCAGTCCCCCGAAAGATAGAGTCCCCTGTCACCACAACCTGTCCAGGCCTTCCTGCATTACCCTCACCACCCGGACTAGATGGCTGCCCTCCCGCCTGTTAGGGGTAGCATCTAGGGCCGCCAGTCTCTGGTTATAGAGAGATGGATCATGGGAGATTTGTACGTCATGCGGAATCTGGATGATTGGAAGGTTTGTGGTACATGGTGGAGGTCGCTCGTTATATTCTGCACATCAGCGTCTCCAGGCTCAGAGCAATGCATTGTAATTGTATATTATGGCCACCAGATGGCGACATCACATCACATTTCACCGCTGAGCAACCTCAACCGCAACTGTAATATCATTCTACCCTGTGACAGTCTGTGCGAGGGAAGTGGTACTGTGCACAGTCCATACTTACAGAATACAGAGAGATACTGAGAATGACACCTGGCATACAGGACAAGAGAAGTGGTACTGTGCAGAGTCCATACATACAGAATACAGAGAGATACTGAGAATGACACCCGGCATACAGGGCAAGAGAAGTGGTACTGTGCAGAGTCCATACATACAGAATAAGAACAGATACTGAGAATGACACCCGGCATACAGGGCAAGAGAAGTGGTACTGTGCTCTTTCTGTAATCACTTTTTTTATGATTACATGTAAAAAAAACAGTTTTATGTGAGATCTTTGCTAAATGAAAGGAATTGTGGGAGATTTGTATATCACAGAGGGAGGATGGGGGGAGTAGTAGGAATCAAGAAGGTCCTGTGATTTTAGGACGGGGTGACCAGGTTGCCCATCATTCGGTGATTGAATAAGTGGAACACAGCAAGAGTATTCTACATATTGGCCACTGGATGGCGCCATTGGCTGACATTTCAATGCTGCATTGCCTGGGCTGTGAGTGTTGGTTCCCATTATGATATCAGACATCATTGTGTATGAATGAATCCCTCTCTCTCCTTCCTCTCCTCCCCTCTCCTTCCTCTCCCCACTCCTTCTTCCCTCCATTCCTCCTTCTTCCCTCCATTCCTCCCTCTCCTCTTCCCCCCCCTCCTCCTGGGGTGGGGGGGGGGGGGGGATAAACACTTGCTGCTGTGATGACGTCTATGGTACTGGAAGTCACATCGCTAATTATACAAATCTGCATATGTGTCCGTGGAAAACTGAAACATGTCACATGTCTGGAAACGTTACATGTGAACTCCAGACAAAGCTGCCTTGTTTATTGTAGATAGAAAGGGTTAGATCCTGTGTCGGGTCTTTTTGAAATGTTTGTAACATTGTGGTTACATTTGTGGGATGATTTCATCTGTTCTGTGTTTATAATAAAATATTATTGTACTCTCCATGTGTTTGTGGTAGAGACATGTCCCGGGAGTGCCCTGACTTTCAGTGTTTAGCATCAACTACCTGATGGAGTTTCCGAGCCTTCCGAACATTCTAGACTGCGTAGCAACCTCGTCGTCTTCTGTAGCTGCAGTTCAGTCTTCAGACTTATCCTATGCCTGCTGTTATTACTATTCATCTATGAGAAATACATTTCCTTCCCTTTACTTTTTCTTTTCCTTCCCTTTCCTTTCCTTTTCCTTTCTTTTTTATTTCCTTTCCCTTTACTTTTTCTTTTCCTTCCCTTTCAATACCTTTTCATCTTCCTCTCCTTTTCCTTTCTTTACCTTTCCTTCTCCTTTCCCTTCATTTCCTTTCCCTTCCTTTTACTTTCCTTTCTTTCCCTTTCTTTTCCTTTTTGATTCCCTTCTTTTGCACAGTCTTTTATTTTATGTTCCTTCCCTTTCTTCTCTTTTCCTTATCTTGCCTTTCTCTTCTTTTCTTTTACTTCCTTTTCATTCCCTTCTCTTTATTTTCCTTTTCCCTTTTCTTTACTTTTCCCTTTCTGCTCTTTTCATTTCCTTTCCTTTTACTTTTTTTTCCTTTCCCTTCCTTTTCTTTTTCCTTTTCATTTCCTTCTCCTATCTCTTCCTTTCCTTTTAATTTCCTTTCTTTTCATTTCCCTTTCCTTTCCCATCCTTTCTTTTCCTTTTCTTTTCTTTCCCTTCTCATTCTTCTCTTTTCCTTATCTTGCCTTTCTCTTTTTTTTCTATGCTTTTTTTTCCCTTTCCTTCCCTCCCCTTCCTATCCCTCCCTTACCTTCTCTTTCCTTTCCTTTCCTTTCCTTCCCTCCCCTTCCTATCCCTCCCTTACCTTCTCTTTCCTTTCCTTTCCTTTCCACTTTACTCTGAAAGATGCTGGAGGTCGCTCTCACTGCCCTATAACGTCCAGTGATGTTTACAATCTCTGTAGCCGCATTATTCCTGAGTAGCGATTGGCTGAGAAAAAAAATGAAAAATAGCAACTTAGAGAAACTCGTTCCTGATCTCCAGGGTTGTCTCTGTGAGGGTTGTGATTGGGTGAGACACGACACAGAAATTAAAGGCACATCTACCCCGAGGAAGTGATCTGATTCGATGTGTCTGCACGGCGGCAGAGGCCCTGGAAATGGTGTGATATAGATAATGATAGAGATTTGGAGAGACTCGGAGAGGCTCCGCCTCCATAGTTACATAACATGGAAACAAGCTGACCACAAACCATTTACAAGAAATGAAGCGACGACCCTCCGAAGGAAGGAAGCAACACAAACCACAAGAGTCTCGAAGACTCGAGTGCCAGAGTGTACCTGCGTGATGAAAACCGGATCAGGGCGGAGCTTCTACTCGTGGATAGAACTGAGCGAAAAAATACAATCTTTTTCTTTATCTGCCGAACTGACTTTATTATTATACATGTATATAGCTCTGACCTATACCACGGCGCTGTACAGAGATCACTGAGCCAGTCACATCAGTCTCTGTACAGAGGAGCTTACCCTCTAATGTCCCCCCCCCCAGTCACATCAGTCTCTGTACAGAGGAGCTTACCCTCTAATGTCCCCCCCCCCAGTCACATCAGTCTCTGTACAGAGGAGCTTACCCTCTAATGTCCCCCCCCCCAGTCACATCAGTCTCTGTACAGAGGAGCTTACCCTCTAATGTCCCCCCCCCCAGTCACATCAGTCTCTGTACAGAGGAGCTTACCCTCTAATGTCCCCCCCCCCAGTCACACACTTTAGCTCTGACATATTCTTACAGAGAAATGAGAATTGATAATGTCCGGGATGTTCCAGCTTATATTGCAGTGATGTGTA